GACATCAGGTAACTATAATGATACAACTATTTAATGAAACTTTATTTGCAGAGCAGTTGAACCAGTATTTTTTTTGTACTATGAAATTTACTTTTTGATATGGAGTATTTGTCAAGAGAAGTTCGTCTGATGCTGAGATATCCAGGTGAGTCTGTGTCTATTCCTATTCTTATCAAACAGAACAGTAAAAGAAACTTTGTTCAGCAGATTATTGGGATCGTGATCCGAACACTTGGGAAGTATAAACGACTGGGACGCGTTTTGGATCAAACAACCGCATAATGAACCAATTTGTAAACGCCTTTCTCACCAAGCTTTAGCGAAAGAGTTAAATTGCTTGAAGAAGAAATTCGATTCTACGAATCCTGCTCATATAAGGGCTTGCAAACTACAGGACGAAATAAAGGAAAGTATCTTTGCCGCTTGGTGTGCTAGCGTACTCAATAGCTAATCTGGCAACCGAAGTGTTGAGAAGGTCTTTCCCGTGTGCAAAGACCGACAGGTAGCTCTGCAACGCGCGTGGCTATTGAAACGTAGCTGACGTACTTCATGTCTAATCCGGCAACCGAAGTGTTGAGAAGGTTTTTCCCGTGTGCAAAAACCGACGGGTAGCTCCGTAGTGCGCGTGGACATGAAAACGTTGGTCGGGTGGAATCCGTGGCATTCTATAAACAAGTTATTCCAAATTACATAATCCAAAGGTGTTAATTGAACTAAGTATTTTTTTTTTTTATATATATAGAAGAAAGACAACCAAAATGACGAGATTTGGGAAAACTTGGATGAAATTAATTCATTGAAGGCAAAGTCTTATATAGCTGACTTGGAATTAGAAATTAATAAGGTTCGGCCTCCATAATCTTTCATGCATGCGATGACTTCATATTTAGTTTTTTTCAACTTTGTTACAACAGAAGGAGGGAAGGTGTGCTGTTCACCAAATAACGAAAGAGGGATTTAAAGTAGCACAACGAGGATTACAGGAATATTCTGATGCAGAGCTTAATAGTATGCGAACTGGTATGTTTGGCTTAAATGATTACTACTGTTACAAGGTTGTTATTACTAAAAATGTTGTATATGTAACAGAAAATCGTAACAACCTTCAAGTCGCTTCTTCAAGTGCGGTTACACAAGCTCGATCGGGAACATTGGAAAGCCAAGATCATCAAAAAGTGCAAAAAGACCTCAACTATAAAGAAACATTTGATGATAATGGAGATATTATAACTGATGGCCTGGCTCGCCTCTGGCGAAGCCAGGAAGAAATATTCATATATGAACAGACAGGACCGCCGGATGTTGATGATATCACTGATTTTTACATCCACGATTATAAGTTGGTTCGAACCATGCGTGATGTCCTGAATAATTCTTCGTCTTCACAACGGTATAAAAGATTACAATAACATGGCGAGTTTTGGGGTTCTGGGACATCGCGATGAAGTCTCTTTGCTTTGGTGCACGATTCACCCAAAATCATATTGCTTACGCGAATATGGTTGTTTTCGTATTCCCGCAATATGGCAAGATCTTCCCGTTTTATCTGAGGCAATAATATCATGCTTGAAATATTTTGTGAGTACCATTAAAAGATTATGCTTCACATATCTATTACTATTGTCTTTCGCTAATAATTATTTATGTTCAGTCCTTCATGAAAAACAGCATAACGAAAATTGAGCCACATATCGAACAAAAGTTGAAATTACTTGCAAAGCGGAAGGTTCATATGATAACGCCAAATCCACCAACACCTGAAAAATCAAAAAAGCAAAATAATCGATTAAAAAAACAAAAGAAATAATATGATTTTTTCTAGCAAAATACATTTATGTTAATAAAGATTAATGATTCGATTGTATAATAAAATTTGTATGTCGCGGTTAAATATTTGTATCTTTTGTTTAATAAGCTCTTTTTTTTTTTTTAATTTTTGACGTTGATATACGTAAACTATCTCTTACTAAAACAACGCATTGCCGTGAGCTTGAGGACAAGAATGCCCACTTAAGAAGATTACAGTAAAGAACACAAAACCCGAAGGAACTAGAAAAATCTTAATTTGTGCTTTTTCGACTAGGATATTTCCTGGTGCTTTCTAATCCAAAAAGGGGAATGCTGAATTAATTGGAGATCTCAGAAAAGGAGTTAAAGTTTATATTCCGATGTTTGCCAGCGCGGAGATGGCAGAAGCTGAATTAGCATCTCATGGGAATAAAGGTACGTGTTTTTCTAAACAACTGACAGAAAGTGAGAAAAGGACATATTTACTGAGATCAATGTGGCAGTGACAAATTTTGACTGTTTGATAGTGACTCCTGTGATGACTTGTGGAGTAAGTATAAAGTATAACTTTGATATGACGTTTGCACATTTCTGCACATTAGCTAGTCTAATGAGCAATGAAGCATATAACGCGTTCGAAAGCTAAATCAAAATGCAGTACACATTCTAACGGATTTACGTAACGACAATTTGCTGACAGATCGTGAAGACTTACTACGCTTTATCAGTTATCGATGTAATGTTGCGGAATATTCTGAAGTTTATTGCAATAAAACATTTACTCCCAATAGAAGGTGGATTTACAGGCCGAATGCTTCTTTGGAAACGCATCTCTATAATGCACCCCGTCGCAATGCATCTAGAAATAATTTGTAGGTTTATTGACAGACCATGCGGTTATGACATTAGCATTGCTGAAGATTGCCCTTCTATAGACTCAACGGTTACAGAAGACAATGAACATAAGAAGTTCCTAACAAGACAGAAACCAAAAGATTAGTGACGCGAATTGATCGCAAAATCAATCGTAAAAACTACCTGATTATTTTGACTTAAACAATTTGAAAATGTCTATTTTACCAGCAAATTTTATTGTGGATTACTGATCGGAGTTCTCTTGGTTTCATGCTTTATTATATACTCCATCAAAATAAACTTCACAACATAAATCAAAAAATCAATAAAATTATCAATTTAATCGAGCCTAAAAAAGTCATAATAATAATAACAACAAACCAAGTAAACCATTCGGCAAACGAAGTTACTTACCAGACGTCGAAAAACTGTGGAAGAACTTTAAAAAATTATTTGACAAAAAGTCCGGACTGGATCCGAAATTTTTATTTCATCAAATGGCCACTGAAATCCGCAAATTACGCGAAGGAAAAGGCATTGCAGCCTCCACATTGAAAAGTTTCTATCAGCGAAGAACGAATCCGAGAAAAAGAATACTAGAAGCCATCGAAGAATGGATGGATAAGAATAAAGAGAAAGATGATATTGACAATATTATTAACAATAGTGATAGTAAAGAGGATAATGAAAATTAAACTTACACCAGAGTGACCAAAGAATAGGTTATACTCATTAATGGCTTTGGGTCCAAGTATTTTCCTCCCATGCAATCACTCTGTATCTGGTGCTTTACGATTATTTATATTTCAAGAGCGCGCATTCAATAATCGAAATAATAAATTTATATTACGAAAATATTGATTTATTTTTATATTGTTTGACTTTTGATTGCAATTGTGTCAAAAAGCAAAATGCGAATTCAAAGCTCAACACATATGCTTAAACAGTCTTTTATCAAAGTTTTTATGTTAAACTGCTTTTCTTTATTGTTATCTTTCTTCTAATTTTTGTTTCTTTCTTGATTCATCATGTGCTGGTGTTAATGCTCATTTATTAGTTATAATTTTCCTTTCTTCCTGATAAATTTCATAAGTAATTTTTTCTTGATCTAGATACTCCTGGAGAGTTTGGGTATCATTGATTTTAAAAACGTAAGGCGCAATTTTCTCTCCTTGAGCTTTTTTTAGAATGCTTCTAATAGTGCTGTAATTCTTGGGTTCCATAGTGGATTTAATGTAAATTAGTTTCATATTTATATTTTACATAGAGGTAGTCCTATATTAATCCTGTTATGGTTTATATTCCTCACATTCTGGTATGATAAGGGGAACATTAAAATTAACAACTCCATAAGTTATTATTATTATAAACAAGCATCATTATTACTTTCAAAATTAGTCAAATTAGTTAACTTTCAGCCTCACATTTATGTCACATAACAGAATGTTCACTTTGTCTGGTTTTGTTGCAGTCTGCCCCATATATTATTATATTATTATTGTTGTTGTTGTTGTTACGATCCATTCTAGGATTTGACCCGTTCTGAGAACGGGTCAAAAATTGTTGACCCATTTCGGGATCCTGAAACGGGTCGACCCATTTCGATTTTGAGCAAACGAAAAGATTTACTTTATTTAAACATAATTCTAGTTGTAAATTATGAATGGATAACACAATGGTTATTTGTGGGATGACAGTTTGGGATACAACTATTATATACGCTTTTACAAGGACATCTTTTTGTTGAACACTTATTGTTACAGTTTATACCATCCTCCATCCAAAACGTCCATCACCATACATGGGTGAAGATCACATAACTGAACAAATATAATGCATCGAATTTTTAACATCATAAGCGAAGACCCAACTTTTCATTTAACATCGTCCTGTCCTCAAGATTGACATACTTTAATAAACATGTTTAATAATTACTTTAACTTCGTATCTCTTACCGAGTTTGATAAATTGGTGGAGATTACTTGAATAACATGTCACCCGAGCATCACGCAAAGCCAAGGAATCGATTGAAATTCTTGCGGCCAGATAAAGTATAAACACTGAGTGCAAACGTTCAGTATAATGCATATAGGGGAAACGAAAATCCTATTACTCAAACAAAGTAAAAACCGGTGTGCGTTAGAGAGGATATGTATGATGCAATCAGTTCTGCTTGCAACATGGCTGGGTACGGAAGACATTCGGCGAGCTCAAGGAACGATACAGCTACATTCCTAGAAAATTGGTTGTCGCCTTTGTCAATTCATGTAGCTTCTGCACAAGGCGATGGCCAATGTTAACTCCAGTATCTGCAAGCCCATTATTGCCAATGAGTTTATGTCGCGGACTTGATCGATCTGAGAATTCAACCGGAATGGTGACTACAAATACATAGCTCATGCCAGAGATTATTTCCTGAGCATAAACACTGGGTACTGCAAGCGTGCAGTATAACGCAAATTGGCGAAACGAAAATTCTATTACTCAACGTGTGTGTTAGAGAGAATATGTGCGATGTAATCTGTTTTATACAATGTGTATTCAGCATTAACAAATAACTGCTAGTTGATAAAGCGTCAACTAATTATTTTTTTTTTAATATTATTATTATTATTTTGTTGTTCATTTGCTATTCACTTGTTCGGGTGTTTATTATATTATTGATAAATTACAAGTTGCGTCTATTGAAAATATAACGTTATACATATTTGGTATAGTCTACGAAATATCTGTTAGTGTTTGTTACAGTGATAAAAACCGAAATGGGTCAAATCCTAGATGGGTCGTAACAATTATATGTAGAGTATTGGTATAATGGGTATTTGGTACAACGAAAGTTGATCGATAATTTAAGCATTAATAAAAAATATTGGTTTCTAGTGATCTGGATATAATGAACCTAATTATAAATAATTATAGTCTTTGCTATAAAAGTAACCTTGGTTATAAGGAATATTTTCTCTGGTCCTGTCAAATTCATTATAACCAGGTTTGACTGTAGTACAAATTACACATTCTTGAACTCTTGCAATCAATAGATAATTGATGCAATGTTTAGAATCGAAAAAGGCATTACAATGAGACCACTAGTATAATGAAGATAATACATTTCTAGTCACCCAAAATTGATCAGTTAGTTTGTAGATGGAGTAGACAGCATGAGTCATAATGGTTTTAGTGAAATTACATTACTTCTCCATGCCTTCTTTTTCAGAGATGAAGAATCCTTAGAAAAATCCATGGGTGGAAAAATATACAAAATTCTCATTTGGTGCTTTAACAATCTTTGCACTTTTTAAATTTTGTAAAACTTCATCCCCTTCTCCTGTATCTGCACTTCCTAGTACCTGATATGGCATTGCACCAGCTGAGCCAGAATGCATATTGAATTCCTAATCTTTGTTCAAGTTTCATTCTATGCTTCCAGGCTTCTTCAATCTTCCTCTTCCCAACTTCTTCACTGATAAAATTATCAGATTCTCTAACTGCTGAACTTTCCTCTCAACATTCTCCATGTTAACAGACACAAGCTATAACATGTCCAGCTCATTAGCTGCTGCTTATGGAAACAATAGATGATATCTACTGATGCACCATTTTGTCTGATATTAATATAGTCTATATTCAGTGATCATACATAGGTAAAGTAACACATGAGCAATGTAAACATACAATAGAAGTATAAAAACGACTGTAAAAACTCACAATAATAAATCTGCTATGTCAAATTGTATTTAAGCACTTGCTTCGATATTCAGGTTCACTTGAATAGTAGGAGTAATGTAAGTAGCTATTGGGGTAATAATCTGTACTGAAGGTGATTAAACACATAGCAAGAAAGCTACTAGCCAAAGCCCCCATATACATAGCATCATCCTTGTGAGTATGTATCAGAGTGATCCTGTAGTATATCAGAGTAATTAAGTTAACTGTGAACATAAGAGTGGGATAACACTACCAGATGGCGGTCATTAAGCTGTGAGAGGAAAAAATTGTGTTAGCAAATGCTTGCCAAATTTACTTCTTTGAGCAACTGGTGCAACAATTTTTGCTTTCACATACTTGGTCATACCTTGCACAGGGACAATGCATGTTGAACTTCAACAGTCAAGAGGGTTATAATTAATATAACAGTTATGCATGAATTGGCAGCCATGCTTAAGCCTTTTTTCTTTTTGTTGTCAGATACTTGTGTTAGATTGGCAACAGCTGAGAGCTACAAATACAGGCAATAACGAATCGATTTAAATAGGGTCCGTTGATGAAACAAAGCTGCAATGTGCTTACAATTCTTACCCTTCAGTTCAGATTGTTGTCTTCAAAATTCTGTATTAATTTTCTCAAAACAAGAGTATGAATTCTCCTTTTATCAAGATGACTGAATCAATCAGTGCAATTACTTCTGCAGTGCCCGATGTGCCCGATGCAAAGGAGCGAGAAAATGCCTTAAATAAATGTATAAATTGTTACCCGTCTATAGTGAAATTAGTTCTGTCTGTGCATGGCACAGATTATCTTCATATTCCGTGAAGAAGTAATGGTGCCCAATCTATGAATCTTCATTTCTTATTCTGCAAGTTGAATGAGGAAAAAACATCATATCTACCATATAGCACTGGTTCTAGTACCCCCTTGGTATAGTAACCCCCTTGATTAGTACCGGGTCTTATACTAGTCCCTTCTCATCCATTTTGGTAAAGTATCCGGGGTATTTAACCGGTTTATAGTATTTATTATATTTATTATTATGATTAATTTTTCTCGTGCATTCCATTGACGACGTACCTTTTGGGTTGTATTTGCATAACGAATACCTTTATTCCCGCGTATAGGCATACTTGAGAATGCTGAAGATGCAAATTTTAGATTATCTAATACTAATACGATTGCAAGAAAATCACTACCAAAATTACTAATGTACCCCCCCTGGTACAGTATCCTCCCCTGGTATAGTACCCTCCTCACAGTACCCCCGGGTACTATACCAGAATTTCAGGCGTTCTGGTAAAAGACCCCGGGTACTAGAACCAGTGCTATACGGTAGTACTTGTACGATGTAACACAAAACACGTAGATTGAAAATTTTTTTAATAGCTAAGTAAACAATTAAATCACAAAATATCTCAGTCACAGCTTACCTTTGCTTTTGACGATAAACGGGTATCCGAATGTTAAAGCAGAGAAATCGGTGAGACTTGACGGACAATAGCCGAATGGTTAGAACCGACAACAAACGCGCTGGTCAATTCGACAACTTCTGCTCAGTAATAATTCATGACGATATGTGGACTACCGAGCCGAGTAAGAAGATAACTATTACCCGGTTACTCGCGTAAATACCTCGTTCAATGTACAGTCATGATCAACTTGCTGCAAATATGAATATGCAGCCCAAAAACGTAAAGGGCTTTACCGCTGTGCCTCTCGACATTTTTAATATGGGTTTTGCTCTGCAGTGGAATACTCGGATGTATCCCCGTATGGGTATTTGTGGACATAAATTCTTCCGAGCTTAAACAACCACAATTCACCCACCATTTATTATGGAGTAGGGTTCAGTCATGCCACAGTACACAAAGACAGCCGACCAAGCACAGAACTTTATACTCATATGGATTTCTTCAAAACGGCTTTGCGATCTCAAGAATTAATACAGAAGATGGACATTAACCTTAGACCCAGCAAACGGATGTTCCAATATATCCAAACACAAATAATGTCCAACAACCTTCCGTTCCATATCCTGATCCGAAGAGAGTACTACGCATACATTATTGATCTGGATAGTGTTGCAGACCAAACCAGACCTTCGTTCTGCTCTGTTAAAGAATGAATGGACTACCATTATTTCTATCCCACAAACATCAATAGATTTACCCCATTCCCGTAGGAGACGACAGATATTTGGAAAACTTTAATATTCATAAAATACGGGACTCATTCGAATCCTACCAAGGAAATTCACCACTTACAGATGCAGATAATATACTCGTAGAGTTTTTGATTACTTGTAAGCATTATTAAGGTATTGTATTAATATAATAACCTTAGTTATGTGATGTTGCGTTATAAACGGTGACGTATTCATTCCTAATTTCTCCATTTGCAGTAACATCAGCGCGCATGGTACAAGTATCATCACAGCAGTGATATGGCAGTCAGGTGATAGATACAAACAGCATCGCTGTAAAAGTAACAACGTATACTGAGAATAATAGTTAGATAATAGCGATAGCTGATGGATGGAGGCGAGGCGATGAAGCCTGAATGAGATAACATTAAAAATCACTCCATTCAATAGCCAGTAATATTGATCACCTGGTATTGATAAAAAGTTTTTCCGTTGCGAAAGCAAAATTAGAAGTTAATTCGATTAACAAAGCGGATGGTCAAAAAAGCGTAGCTGAAGGGACGCCTGAAGCTATTAAGCGGCGTGTATCCTTATCCAATTGCCTATATTTCAAATCGCGTTTACTTGTGAGGACAGGAACATTTAGACTTTGCGGATCAACAAATACACACCGACTTACTCTTACAGCAGTCGAAATCATAACGACATCACACTCTCAATCACAACCGTAACCATCACCATATACATTCTTAAGTCGAATACAATGCAGAAGCATATCATTACCAAATGAATGCATCGACGGGTGAGCGCCAATATTGTAGTGAATTTGTCAAAGGAAATGAAGACAGAATAGAATGGAAGAAATGTTTAGAAAAGAGATGGAGCATACTCTTAGAGTAAAAGCGATAGAAAATAGCAGACGTGTTTCTCGTCTTGCCTGAGAAAATAATAGCAATTAGCATGCAATTGATCGATAAGGAATGCAGCAAAAAGCTGATTATCAATCAGACCTTTTTAATTGCTTTATGACTAACCGCGAGTACGGAGTAATACTGACACTAGTGAATCGCAGAAATTAAGTCAAGAATAGGGGCCAGGGGAATCTGTGATTACTCCGACGGTGCAGTAAAATCAGCGCATGGTACAAGTATCGTCTGTTTGGGTTGAGCTAAGGTGTATAATAATGTTAGAGTATGTGGAGAGAATAATAAAAAACGAAAAATGGTAGGGTAATAGTGTAGTGTGAATAATCATGTGAATTGCGTCACTCATCTCGTGATGACATTTCAATTGTCCATGCAAAAGTGGGTATTACAGAATCTAAAGTTAGTACATAAGACATACAAACAATGTAAAAAATGCCTATGTTCTTCTACTGTGATAGTTTAAGTGATGCAGCAGTGATACGGCAGTGATACAAGCAAGCATCACTGAGAATAATAGCGTCTAAATAAAGACCTCACTGAGAATAATAGTTAGATAATTAGTAAGTAATTGCTAAAAATATATCAATTAGTCCGCCCGAAAGATATATAAGTAGCGTAGATTTCAGTTAGATAGAGGTCGGTCAACAAGTGCATGTTTAGAATGTTCTAATTACTTTCAATTCCTTTATTGTAAATAAATGAGTAGTTCTTTATACTCCGAAATGTGCAAAGCCTTGATTGGACAAGGTCACTAACTGTAACCCGAGATTTACCTAGAGAAGAAATTCCTAGTGTCGATTATTACCTGCTCTCCCGTGATAGTCGGCACGACAACATTTTTTGCCTTGAAACTCGACCAGAATATTTTGCAAAACGACCAGATAGTAAGCCAGCATTTCGTGCGCGGTTTATATAGCCTATTGTCGAACCATTTATTTCATATTCAAAGACCTGATTGATAGGCTCCCTCTTTTTATGGATTCTTCTGTGTGGTTGACTTTGGGATGAAATATCAGGCTGCCAGGCAGAGGGGAAAAGACAGCGGATTGGATCAAATACAAAGGCTGACGGTATTGGGTTCTCTTGTCAGTGTGGACAATAAAGAACTTCTTATTTTTGAGCTTTCTGGAAGCCAACTCAGCTTCTGACACACAGGAGATGATGGTGGATGCACTCAATGACCTTCTCGAAGACTATAAAGAGTGTGAATTTGAACTGGCAAAGTTTTTGGGTTTCAAACCAAAGGTAAACTTTTGCAGTTTCTATGTTTATGTTATTCTGATGACGTGTTTTGAAATTTAATACTCGATTTATATGCTTACAGGCTTGGTCATGAACTGCTTCAAAAAAAAATTGATTGTTATACTAAAAGCTTCAATTTAATTCTTCAACATGAGGAAGACAACAGAAAAAAAATGGCGCAACTGTTACTTAGAAGGTATAGAAAGGCAAGTATAGAGGCTTTGAAATTTATTGCCAGAGAACATTGTCCTGGTTCTCTTTGCCAACAAGATACAAGAGTGCCTAATTAGTACTAACCATGTTTTGTTTTCAGGACGAATTAGCAAAGTCATTGGATACCATCCAGAGACTCAAAATGGCAAAGGCCCGAAAATTCAAGGTTATCAATCCAGTTGGTGGTTATATGTTGTGGTTACCACCTGAATGAATATTTGCCTTCTATGCAAAGAAATGGAAATTACTCCAAAATAATGTTTGCTACTTATAATAATGCTACTTATAATAATGCTTATTATATGCCTAATGTTAATATAAGTTGTTTTTGTCTGCATCAGTTTTAACTTTTTAGGGTGATGTATGGTGTGCACTTGTAAAGGACTTTGAAATAATGTTAGTAATTCCAACGTTAGTAGATGGTTTATTAGACGTTTAGCTAAAAAGTCATTGTTTATTAAGAGGGGAGAATGTAACAATTTGCAATATCGTAATCATTGAGTAATAGTGAAGACGATACTATTTAGTGTATTATTTATGTCGTAGTATGTTTACGCTTTTATTGCATCATTATTTAGTTATTATGTAGTATATATTTAAATTCATATATCGTCATAGTTATATACAGATATCGTCGCGGGAATATCTATTATAAAGAACGTTATCTTCCTTAATATTTGACGTCTGCGTCAATTCGAATTCTTGAATTATTCCGGCGCATTTGACAAATTTTGTACGTGTTCCCATGTTGCGGGTATCCGGTATTCTTTCGGATAATTCTTTTATCCAATGTTGCTTCATATTTCTCTTGTTCAGTATCAGATTCGACAATAGCAGGAGGTGGTGTTGGTCTTGCAAATTTTTAGGAGGGTTGGTATGGTTTCAGAAGTGAGAATCTTCATTGTTTCAGGGAGGTTCAACCTATGTTACTGGAATAACCTCAGCAATTGTGTGTGGTCCAGTAGTTAACTTTTTTGTGGCGGGTTATTAGTATTTTTCATAGAGAGTAATACTTGATCTCCTTGTTCGGCTGTTAAATGATATTGGCCATATTTTGTTTGTCTTTCTTGAGCTTCTCTCAAATGATCTTTGGCGATTTTTAACATAATATTCCAATGTTCAATAAAATCATTAGCTACTGGTACATTGGTAGTAGTCCTCTTTGCTAGTGTAATTGGCGTATGAGGGTGTTGACCAGTATCAAGTTCAAAAGGTGTAAATCCCGTCGATATTTGCTTAGAGTTATTATATGCAAATTCTGCAGCAGGTAAATACTCGTCCCATTGATCTTGTTTGTATGTAGTGTAAATACGTAACATTTCTTCTAATGCCCTATTGAGCCGTTCAGTCTGCCCATTCGTTTGAAGGTGAAATGCTGTTGACATTGCATTGCAGTTTTCGTTCCAATAATGCTTGCGAAAAACGGCTGGTGAATTTAGAGTCTGTCTGAAATAATAGTTTTAAGTAACCCGTGATTCTTGAATACTGTAGCAAAGAATATTTTGGCAATTGTAGGAGCATCTGCGCTGCGGAGGAGTGTGGGGTGAAAAATGGCTCTACGACAGTGAATCTACTATCGCATCGTGTCCCTGTTTTGTTAAGGTAACTGTACAATAAAATCCATTGCTATTTCTTCCCATTTATTGTTTGGTGTTTCTAGAGGGTGGAGAAGTCCAGCTGGTTGTTGATTGTTTGATTTATTCCTTCACACGTCTGCACATATTTTCGATTGTTCTTTCCCAATTTTTGGCCAGTAGAAATTACGCATAATGGCTTTTGCGGTTTCAAATGTCCTAAGATATTTGTATCATGATGTTCATGTAGTTGTGTTCGAATTTGCTTATTGTCATTCGTTGAGTACCTTTGAGGTATAGATAGCCATCTATTTCAAAATGCTTGATCAAGGTTTCGGAGTTGGTCCAAATAACTATCTTATTGATAAGTTTTTTCCAACGTATCATCATTCATAAGAGTCGTAGTTACTGTATTGTGGTTATAGTATTGAGGTGTGGTTGTCGCGATAGTGCATCGGCTACCATATTCGTTTTCCCTGGTCAATATTTCACTTGAAAGTCATAGGATTGGAGAGTGTCAAGCCATATTGCTTGTCGTCTTGAGAGGTTAGATTGTGTCTTGATATATTCGAAAGAGGTATGATCCGTTATGACAGTAAACTATTGTACGTGCGCCATAATTTAATAGCATAAAGAATACCTAATAATTCTTTTTCATGGGTAGCGTAATTCTTGATTCATAAGCGATAGGTTGTTCGCCTTTTCCATAATCTTGAGTTAACCCTGCTCCAATAGCAAATTGGAGGCATCTGTAGTGAGAGTAAAAGGTTTTGTTGGATCGGGTATTAATAGTACGAGAGTAGTGGTTATTTTTTTTTTCTGCGTGTCGTTATTATAAAATTTGCTATCAGTGTGAGTATGTTTGTTTATTCATTGACTTAGTATTAAATGTGTTCCATACACTATTCTAATTTTAACTCTATTTTAAGTCATCTGTTATTGGGTGTGTTATATTCGGAAGAAAATTAATAGTATGGAAAGTAACTTGAATTTGTAACATTTTCAACTGGTGTAAAAATGGGCGATGTCGTCATCCTGATAACACATATGTCATGTATTATTAACGCGAAAGTTTCTGACAAGCGAACGTGCTTTATTATATTGTACTGTGTGTGTTGTATCACGCGTACGTAATATTATTAAATATGAAATTATATCTCCTCGCCATGCATTGTTCAAGTCATTATGAAGACAAAGTTTGAATCCTGTCGCAACTGTTACATTAGGCAATGATCATGCAATAATTAACGTACTGACACGTAAGTATTAACAAGCAATACATCGGTTTGTCTCTTTGAAGTATCCGGCATAGCAATTGCAAGATCAAAGTAAAATTTTGTCTATTCTTTCTTTTATACATAAACGTTTATTTATAATGTTATTTTCTAAACTAATTATATCCAACATTTGTTTTCCTATAATTTACAATCACTGTTGTACACAATGAGAAATCAGTAGAACGTCAGCTACAAGCAAATCGAGCATAGAATCTGTATTCAAGTGATAGTGTTAAGACATTGAAATAAAGAATGGTTTATAAACACCCAATTAGGCGTAGACCACAATAATAGAGAGCAACATACGCATCAAATGCAATTGGGAATGTATCAATGTAATGCCGGCGAACAAAAACCTGACATCGCGCGTTCTGTTCAATTACTATTTTTTGTAACCACGTAAAAAGACCCAGAGTTTTCCCAGAAAAGTCTACTCCTTATAGCTAATAATTGTGAGGTTCGAACTGTATGTTTACGAGGTGTAGATAAATTTGATAAACAAAATGTCGATTTGCATTCGATATGGGAAAAAATCGTGGGTTAGATGAGTTTGAACGTGAACAAACGATTGATTTACGAATGGTTGGAAGAGCCGTGAAGCATTGCTTGTATTCTAAGGTTAAGGGTTCCAAAAGCACTGTCACATATGCAACTACCTGACACGCTAGCACAACCTGATCAGAAGTATTGGTAAAACATTATCAAAGCTATATTATATGTTCAATGATATGTGTAACACAAATATCGAACTACTTCTTCATTATAGAATTGCAAGTGGTTAAACTAGCAATTGTTATGACTGATTATAAACGACTGTAACTGTTCATGTATGCGAACTTTCTCTTTTAACAGATAGACTGTTGGATGTCACAAATACTTGGGAGGGACAAGGACGAGTAAAATCTGTGTGCATGATGGTTAATGGCTCTAAATACACAAGTGGCGTCATGTTCAGGTTCTGTCGGTTCTCATCTTCGTTCTTCTCTCACCGTTTCGTTCCACACTCTGTTTCCCTTTGTATTGCATACCTTCGAAAATTTACAATAAGTATATCTGACTTTCTAATTCAGATGTCTTTCCCGTCGCAACCATTCCAGTTATGGACTTGGTCAAACCCCATCGATCGTATAATTGTTGGTATTACATTTTATGATCATCATCACGAGCGCAATTGTGGCGTTTGACAGTGCCGCCCCCCCCCCCCCCCCCCCATTTTAAATTTTGACACGTAATTCGTTGACCAAGTAGTGGTGGTTATGGCAATAATAGGCACGCTTTGTTTACCGAGTTCAACTGATCTGTGCAGTAGTTTTCAAATCAACTACAGCACATACTTATAAAGATCGTCAATACTCAATACCCTGTTGTTAACACTATCACAACAGATCACGCTTTCCTTTTAGTCGACGTTCATTCTTATAATGGAGGCCTTCTGTTCCTCATACCTCAGATTAGTAACCCTGCACATCATCCAGGCTGCAGGGTTCGACAAGACTTCAGAAATAAGCCTTGACGTTTTAACAGATATATTTGGTCGCTATATAACGCTTCTTGGACACACTGTCACAGAAAACGCCAATCATGCTGGTCGAGCCACACCAAACATTTTAGATCTAAGCCCAGCGTTTGAATCACTCAACATAGACATGAGCGATCTCAAGGAATGGGTGACAGAAGGCGACGGCAAAACGTTGGAAAATCTCGGACTGTCGATTCCCAGTCCTCCCATAAGAGGTATTTTCTGAATATTTCTTCTGATTTAGGCCTTTACGATGGGTGAGTATCAACGCACTTTGTATCATGGTTTTGCAGACATACTTCAGAGCGGTTTAGTGAAAAATCAAAACGAGGTGATGACCATTGATCCATTTCCACCTGATGTGAAGATAGTAGAAAAGGTAGAGATGGGAGACGAGTTGAAAGAAAACGTGAAAGAAGGAGATGATGATGAAAGTGACGTGAAAGGTTATGGTGAAGAGAAGGTTGGGGAAGGGAAGATTGAGGGGGTCGTTGAAGGACAGGTCGATGAGAGCGCTGTAAAATCAGAAACAACGCTAGGTTCACCTAACGACAAAGAACCGGAAGTTGAAGAGATGGCTATAAGCGAAAAGGAAACGAAGCCTGATGAGGCGCCGCCGTTAGCAGAAGTTTCACCGCATCCTAATTTTAATCAAGACCAAGCTGCGACCAACTTGAAGCGTAAAATAAGATCCCCATCATGCTTATCCGCCTATGCCAAAGCTTCCTCATCTGATATAGTCCAATCGACTCTCAAAGCATTTTCCTCACCGCAAGACTCTTATTGGGAGAACGACGATGTGCACATATCGGGGTTAACACGGAAGAAACACCGGCTTGACGATGCGCCAAGCTGGCTTATGCCGTATAGCAGTAAATCATACTTACCTGAAGCGTGGGAAAGGGATGTCAAGTTGGCAGAGGTCAGAGCCAAGTTTGGCTTGGACGTACCATTCATAGATGGAGGTTCGCTTGTAGAAGATCCGAATGCTGAGCCGCCGTCACCGGATTTCTTGTACTTTTCAGCGACTTCACAACAACCTCAACCTTCTAATCAAAAACAAAAGCAAGAATCAAAAACATTACAACAGCAACGACAAGGATTAGCGCAGCAAGCACGGCAACAGCCGAAACAACGACAACAAAAGCAACCGCCAAAGCAGCAAAAAGAACAAAAACGTGAACAAGTTCAGCCTCCACATAATTCTACGCAACGACAAAAAAAACCCTCGAAATTCAAACTGAAACCGAAACCTGCGAAATCTACGCCTGCATCAGCCAGCGCTCCTATGAAAATAAAACTTCGCATACCAGCGCCTCACAAACAATCTTCGTCGCCTGCATCAGTTCCATCGACTCCCGTATCCGCAATATCAGCCTCGTTGCCTTCGTCGACGCTCAACACACCATCCGTAGTTGTATCAATACCCACCATGAGTGACGAAGAGATAAACTGTATCTGCGAGAATCCGCACATGGACTATGGAAAATTCATGATTGCCTGTGATAATTGCGAAGTTTGGTATCATGGAAGTTGTGTTGGGTTTGGAGATGGGACCGATGTGGTAGTTGACAGTTGGTTTTGCATGAGGTGTCAAAAGAGAGGGGAAAGTGCAAAGACGGAGAAATAGAACTTGTGAACATGTGAATAAGGTTTAGCGATGTGTACAGATTGTAATAAGTTGTGGGTATGTATGATAAGTATATAAACAAAACAATCGTTCCCTCTTTGCTTTCTAATTCAATACGATAGAGAATTAGCGAGGGGAAAGTACATATTAAAATAGTTTATATTTCAAAGTAATAAATACAATAGTCAATATGCATTCTAAAAAAAAAAAAAGAGGAAATTATGTTGTAAATGTGTCAACTAATAAAGTGGGCAAAATTAACGAAAATTAAGTTATTACATATAACCGTTAGCGAATATATCACCGCGCATATGATGGTTGCGGGGACCGAAAATCCAACTATTCCGGATAAGCATTCCGATCATGCTAGGGTTTCTTTGCTCGCTTCTCAAAGCTTAGTGGATTGTAGCCTTTGCCGTATGATGAGTTTACCGTCGTCAGTATTTCATATTTAGCACTCTGAATCTGATAGTAAACTGTCATATACAGCGTCAACATAACTTTAATGTCTGATGCAGCGTAGAAATCAATATCATTGGCAGATGTCTTTTCTTTACTTCTTCAAGAAGTGTACGATATATCGGGTTGGAGTCACAATTTGTCTTTGCGTTGGCCTCTTCCCTGTTCACTCATATTGCTGTTCAGTTATATTATTCAAGTAAAAACTCGTTATAAGAATGCCGTCTGGTCGGACCAAATTCCTTCTTATAACGAATAATTTCTTTAATTCTCATGATATACAGTAAGAACGCGATTCAAACAATTTCTTTGATAACTTTATTTCATATAGTATAGTATGCACTCGGATCTATTGACGACGTTTATTTTTTCGCTTGTTAAATTTTATTTTGCAACTTTCGCCGTCGCCATCATTATGATTATTGATTCATCGTTAGCATTAGGATCCATTATGGCAGGAATACGGAGAATGAAGAGGCTATTTAAAATTTTTTATTATTAGCTAATTCTTATATCGAAGATAACATTTCTCATGTCGAGATTTAATATACTTACATTAATACTGAGGTCATTTGGTTCGAGTCGGAAAACCCTCTCTCTTATGGCTCAATCTCTTTTATCGGCCGTGTACTTTTATTTTACGCATTTGGTTAATTGTACAATGTGTTGAGCTTTAACGTGTCAGAATCTTACTTTACTCATTTCACGCATGCTTGACGCTTTACGCGCGGATCAGACTTGTTACAAATTTATTTGTTGAAAGTTCAAGAGACCAACATGCTTTTGTAGAAAATATTAGCCTCCTAAACAATAGACACTTCCGTTCAGCATAAGAATAGAATTATTATTAGCGGTAGAATAACAACTGATAATCATGTATGAGTTATAAAAGGGCGATGAATGTCGACTTATTTCTTTTAAAATTCCTTATGTTTGTTCTCAGCCGCTCCTAGTAAATACCACCCAACAGTTTACAACACAAAGCCAAGCTTGATTTTGTGTTATAAGCGCGCATTTGGGCAAGCGTTACACTGAATTTCGAATGCGAAAAATCGATGACGTAAACTTCAGCCATTGCCGGATGTAAAACTATTAAACATATTTCATATGTAACTGCAAATTTGTATACGAATCGAGATAGTACCGTATTTCACGGACTAAAGTACCAGTGGTAACAGGGTTTAATAACTTAAACAAAAAATTGGCCTTTATTATGTAGTTTAACTATAATATAAATAATAAAACAAATGCTGTGTACTAAAATTTCCATTTAACTTTGTTCTCTACCCACTTGATAAACTTCCATCAATTCTTGAACTCTCTTTCTTAGTTTAAAACTATCATTATAACTAAAAAAATAAACCTTATTTTGTGCCTTAATATACCCTTGCTCAGCCGCTTTTTGATATAATTCAATAGCTTTCTGTTCATCTTGTTTTACTCCAACTCCCTTTTCATAGCACCAACCAAGGTTATATTGCCCATATGCATTTTTTTGTTCAGCTGCTTTTTGGAACAATTCAAAAGCTTTTTGAATATTTTGTTCTATACCAATTCCTTTCTTGTAACATAAACCAAGACTAACATATGCATAAGCATTTCCTTGCTTGACTGCTTCTTGATACAGTTCAACTGCCTTTTGAACATTTTTATCTATTCCTATTCCATTTTCAAAACACCAACCAAGGTTATCTTGTGCAAAAGAATCCCCTTGCATAGCTGCATTTTGATATAATTCAACAGCTTTTTGATAATCTGTCTCTATATTAATACTTTTTTTGTATAAATAACCAAGATTATTTTGTGCACCAGTATGTCCTTGTTCAGTTGCTTTTTGATACCATTCAACTGCCTTTTGTTCATCTTTTTCTATTCCAGTTCCATGGCTATAACACCAACCAAGATTATATTGTGCTTGATCATATCCTTGTTCAGCTGCTTTTTGATACCATTCCACTGCCTTTTGTTCATCTTTTTCTATTCCAGTTCCATGTCTATAACACACACCAAGATTATATTGTGCTTGAGCATGTCCTTGTTCAGCTGCTTTTTGATACCATTCCACTGCCTTTTGTTCATCTTTTCCTACTCCAGTTCCACTCTCATAACACCAACCAAGATTATTTTGTGCTTGAGCATATCCTTGGTCAGCTGCTTTTTGATACCATTCCACTGCCTTTTGTTCATCTTTTCCTACTCCAGTTCCACTCTCATAACACCAACC